TTTCCTTCCTTGTGCCTTTCCTTCCTTTCTTCCTTCCCTCCTTCATGCCTGCTCTCCGTCCTTCCTTCCTTCCTTCCTTCCTTCCTTCTGCCTTCCTGCCTTCCTTCTTTCCTGCCTTCCTTCTTTCCTGCCTTCCTGCCTTCTTCCTTCCTGCCTTCCTTCTTTTCTGCCTTCCTTTCTTCATCCTTTCCACTAGTTTAATATTTTGATCCAAATCTAATTTTCGATTGATCCAAATTTAACTTGTTGATTCAATTTTGTGATCCCTATCCCCACTGCTTATCGTTCAAGGCCCAGTGCCTTAACTTGTAGCGTCGTTTCCGACCATCCCACCATGCATGTTCTTGCGACGGAACTACCAGAACAGCGAAGCAGTTTCAGCCACACTTGACCTCAGCTAGGAAGCCAAAATCAACCCCGCTAAAACAAATTGAAAGCACTGTGTGAGGAACGAGCGGGACTTCTGGCTCTGGCTTTTTCGGAGTTGCCAGCATCTTGGCTACCGTAAACTCTGATAAGGCCACAAATAGGAAACTGTAACAGCCAGGGTTTGAAGCCATCATATCTTCAAATTCGGGTTTGTGGCGTGCCATCCATCATCTCTTGTCAGAACTTGGGGCCCTCAGTTACCCCTTTCTTGGGCTTCAGGGGTTGCCACCCGTCACCTCCTGTTGGAGGTTTGGGCCTGTCACCCCACCTATGCCACTAGGGCTTGCGGGCGAAGCCAGTCACCTTTCTTTGGAGTTCGGACGGTAGGGTTTGGGCTAATTGGAAACCAATCATCCCTATCAGGATTCATGTGACACTCAATCCTTTCTGGGCTTCGGGTTGACCACCCATCGTCTCCCATCAGGGCTATGGGTTCTGCGGGAACCAGTCTTCCGAAACGTCTTGGTTTTGACAGAGCTCGGGGGTTGTTGGAACCAGGCATCCCCCGGGTTCAATCTTTGCCACTCAACTTACTGCGTATCTGTGGGCTTTGGGGACCTAGTGATCACGCGCAGGGGTAAGGGGCTTGCCAACTCTCATCTCTTTTCGAAGTTGTGGGTTCAGTGTCCTACAACTCTTGCTAGGGTGCTTAAGAACGAAACATCATTTTTGCGGCTTAGGGTTCTTGTGATGCCCTATTGAGCGGGATGTTGAAGAATATCAGCGTTCGGGTTTTGCGAAGAAACCGCGCTTTCCACGGCTTCCCACCATCTACTCTGAGGGCTTTAGGGCTTAACACACTCGTTAGGACCTAAAGCGTCAGACGCGCAAAAGAAAGCAGCTGTTTTTACCAGAAGGACACGGGCCCATGTTCCGCTGTACTCTCTAAGAAAACAAGACCAATGTCAAAAACACGCCAAGGAATTAAAGTGTACCCGTACCATGAAAAAGCATCATCAACCCAATAATGCTCCCCAAAATCCTTATGTGCACACAAAACAACACCACCATCAATAGCGAACATGCTACTAACCATGAGAAGCCAAGTACGCATCGCAACAAAGCAGCAGCAAGAACAGCAGCAGCAGCAACAGCAGCAGCAACAACAACAAGAACTAGCAGCACTAGCAGCAGCAGCAGCAGCAGCAGCAAAACATAAACTCGCTGACCACCACAGCTGTAACGACAGTGTCAACCAGAAACAGCAGGATAACGAAACAAACATCATAGCTGTCACGTCCTGGCACTCATACTAGACCAAGTAATTCTGCGACATGTGTCCGTGATAATTGGAAACTTGCGAATGTCTGTGTCACCGAGCTGTATATTCTGCGCTTTTGACCAGGAACTCCTAGCAATCGCCACCAACAGCAGATGACAAAAAGATTGAAAACTCCGTGGACACGCTTATAGACCTAAACATATTACCTGGACCAGTGCTGAGGCACTGTCGCATGTGCGACTTGGCTCTGTCAGCCGCCCTTTGCTGGCCCTTCTCAGGAAAGGCCTCGTACCTGACAGATGTTTTGCTCTGTGCAGGGCTCAGGGTGTAAGGTTTGGCACTCAGGGGTAACTGCGCGTGCAGTGTTGCGGTTCTTGGCAGTGCGGGTTTCGTTAGCTTGATTCTACTGGCGCAAGAGTTCATTGGTCTGGGTACAACTGCATGAGAGCCGCAGCAGGCCCTCCTGCAGTGCCCTTGTAGGGTCTGTGGGGGCGGAGACCCACTCAGATTTGCTTGAGCGACGCTGCGCACAGTGAACGCAGGATCCTAATTCGAGGATTCTTGCCATCGCCTCAGAGCTTGTAGTCTGCTGCCCAATCAGGCCACTATTCATTTGACAAGTAAGTAATTTCTACGAGGATGAGACTCTGTTCACTTCCGACTCACTTCGTTGCGTCTTCGGCACAGACCACGGACATATCGCTCATCCGGTGGATAGTCGTGTGGGAGGAAAGGATCTCCGATCAAGTAGATGGACTTCGGAAACCTGAGCAGGACGGACTCCTTCTTTCTGCGGCTTCGCTGTTCCCCCCCCCCTTCCGGACCTGAAAGCAATTCACAAATTGAGCTTTGCCTAGACAGATGGCCCGTACATAGAGAATGGATCTATCTCTGGCGGTCAGGGAATGCAGAGGTTTGCGGTTCAGATACATGAGCTTTGTTTGTTGCTTAACAGAGCCGAATCTGTATTAGGTACGAATGAAGAGTGGTACAAGTACCTGCAAATGCAGCCTCGGGCTGAACCCACAGCCTAAGCCGTGCCATCCGCGAGGCTACAGAGAAAGAATATTTTGCCATTTTGAGAGCCCAAATCCTCCAAAATGGCCTATGGCGGGGGAGAGGGGGGGGGGGGGACCGCGCGGGAATCACGATTTTGCCGTTTGCAAAGCCCAATCTTACATATGCTGCGGATGACTAAAAGCTCCTCTTTTAAAACTGACCTGTTTGCAAAATTCGGTGCTGCCCCTGCGTGAATACTTCCCATAGATCCTTCTCTAGATGGTCTATTCTGGAGCTTCGGACTTAAGACGCTGCAAGAGCTTCAAAAGCTCCGCTTTTGCCTTGGAGCATTTCTGCAGCCTGCTGCAACGTGGTAAAGTTGCCGTCCGTTACCTGAGGGAGGGCACGCGCCAAGTAGGTCGGACCACAGCTACATGCAGTTTAGGGCGCAGGTTTAGGGTTGTAGGATTAGGGTATGCATACGGTTTAATATTGAGGCTTGAGGATTCAACCAAAAACAACAGAACAGATTGAGCTGTGTATGCAAGCAGTCAGCACACATGAAAAATTGAGTGGGGTCACATGATCTAACAGGTAACTGAAGCATGCCCAGTACCTTTTCTCGTGATCGCGATGAAAGGCAGGATCACTGTCGCCCATTTGCAGATTGACGTGTACATGGATTGACCATGGATTGACATATGTACATGTATGTGCCCAAGGTATGAAACACCTGCATATACAAGTACATGTGCAGACATATACATGTGTATATGTCTCTATATATATATATACATGCATGTAAACATGTATATATATATATGTGTATATATATATAGACATATATATATATATATACATACATATATATATATATACACAGGTGTACAGAAGTCTATACAAGCGGCGCAAGGAAACGCCAAGAAACAGGGAGGGAGAAACACCAACAGTAAACATAGCAATGACCGAACAGGCTAACACTCACATTAAGGATTGCACGAGCCGCCGGAGTACAACAGAAGGCTGCCAAGACACCGTGTAGTTCCCGTGCAGCTCTCCTTCAGAGATCGCAAGAACAGACTGAGTATGGGCTATTGTCAATGCCCCAAGCCACAAGACCGCGAGTTACCTTCAACACGCAGTAATAGAGAAGATCGAGCTTTGGAATCCCGACAGTCCTCAATCTGGTTTAGTCGAATGATGAGCTGTTGTTGTATTCCACAATGCTCATGATCCCATTGGCCATCACCGCATTCATGCCGATTGTGGCCATCGTTGCCAAGATCATCGTCAGCATCAGCTTCGTTATGGTCGCCATCATCTACATCAACATCAACATCAACATCATCATGATCATCACCATCTCCACTACAATGGTTATCATCATCATCGTGGTCGTCTCTGTTGTCATTCTCTTGTCAGCAGCAGCAGCAGCAGCAGCAGCAGCAGCGGCAGCACCATCATCATGGTCATCATCATCGTCAGGGTCATCGTCAGCACCGTCATCGCCACCAAAAGCAGCATCGCTGTACTATCTTCCGCAGAATCATCATGATGAAGATCATCGTGGTCCTCAGCATGAGCATCAATGTCGCCCTACTCCATCACGGCTACCATCATCCTTAACCATGGTGTATATCTCCTGGAACATCAGGATCACTGCCATCTTCCGTCTAGCCTAGATTACCATTCTCCTCCCTATGTTGGCCATCACCAGACACAGAGTGGGGAGGTTCAGGGAATTCGATGATCAGGCATTTGCGCACGGTAACGACTATGGGGGTAGGGAACTGTGAATCCCAAATCCCAAACCCTAAATTCCGTAAGTCTGACAGATCATTGTGCCGGACATTTCTCTCCCAGCACCCGCTCCTGCTGGGCGGTTTATGTACTTTGAATCTGACCGTACGTCGAGGACCTCTGCTTCAATTCAGGGCCGAAGGTTCAGATCAGGCCTAAGGTTTCGGGTTTATGCTTGGTCTTAGGATTACCGTCTAGCATGGTTTTGGGGCGCAGGAGAACTGGGTTTAGACACGATCACAGCCATGGTGATGGCAGGATGTTGAAACAAAGTAGTCAGGCGTTGGTATTGCTGTTGTGCAGAACATGTGTAGTGGCCAAGGACGCAGAATTGCAGAATCAATGAACAAGGGACAGAACAAGATTGATTGCAGCTCATCCCTTAAATGTCAAAGCAGCCCACACCTGAGGCCGAAAACCTCACTGCCCCACACACCGACTAAGTACGCTCCTCCCCGCCTGCTCCGCCAAGACCTCGACTTTCGGGTTTCACGTTCCGGGGTCGGGATTAGGTTGAAAGGGCTAGATCAAGCGGATCTCAACAAGCCACCAGTGCGACCAGAACAGTAAAGCCAGCTTGGGCCAGGGGAAGAAAGAGGCGCTCCACCTGAAAGCAGCTGAGATTTAGGAATTGAGGGTTGTGTAAAGGCTGTGGGGTTCAGTGCCCAACAACTCCGTCCTACTTGGGAAACGGCCGACCGCGAAAAGAAGCAACTGCCTCACTGCTGTCCGGAACGTAAATGTTTTGAAAAAGCACTTTAAAAACGTGATCAGTCAAGGCCTTCGTCTTGAGCTCTAGCCGGCGTATCTGGCCAGTGACGCAGATGAGGAAGTTCTCCTACCAACAGATCTTCCGGGAACACTGCAATCAACTGCTCTGCTAGGGGGAGGTCGTAAGGATGTTGCTCTACCCATTTGGCCGCATCGAAATGTCTGAAGTCGCAACCTGGCCTCACTATTCGGCCTCTGTCCTCCATATCCCGCCAGTACATGGGGGGGAACGGTTTTGGAGGTGGTCCCTTCGATTGGGTCGAAGTACCCCAAGTCCAGCAAGGACACTTCTGGTGCTCGTCCGTTTGGTGTCTGCGCAGGCTTCTAATCTCACCAGTACGTGCGGTTGACGACATTTTCACAACCGTCTCCTCATTAGGCGATGGTTTTAATCTCATCATATCTCATCTCATACACCCGCCCCCTTGATTAAGCAATGGTAATTAATTGATTACATTTCTTAGACCCTCACGGCGATCCGGTTGATGACACCTGTTAAACCCCGACAGCAACAGGTCCTTCATAGCAAGCTTTGCAAGCCCTTGAAAAAGTGGATATTGGTAAGGGGTTAGGCGATGACTGTTGATCGCAATTCTTGCACGCACCCCCTCATTCGGTCACATGTATTAAACCCGCCCCCTCGTTAGATCATGGCAGCTGATCGCCTCCTTCAAACCCGCCTCCTCACCAAGCGAGTTCTGTTCCTCACATTCTTTAAATGGGTGATGGCGCTTGCGCGCATGTCTTTTGCCCAGGCGATATCAGCTGATCACATCTCCACGGGATGAGCTGCTTCATATCAAGCTTTGCCCGGCCAAACAGCAGGCGGGTACTGGGCACAACCCCCCCACACCCACCACTTGCAAACACAATGCTCGAATCACCGGCTCGGATAGGATCTACCTGGGCATTGCGGCGCCTTTTGCCGACGGCATGAGCTTAAGCATGGCAAGCTTTGCATAGTTTCAGAAGTTCAACAGTCAATTGAACGGGGCTTGGGTGGAAAGCAGCACCCCACACTTGCAAACACAATGCTGGAAGAGCCGCCCTGGGAATTGTTGCACCTCCTTTCAACTCTTTCGACGGCACGAGGTTCGTGGCAGCAAACTTTGCCAGGTTTGCAAGGTTTGTGAAAAACACTTGACTTGGGGGGTCGGGGGCGGGGGGTCCATGCAGTAGAGCGCAAAAAGCGATAGCAGAAAAGCCGCCAAAAGGCAAAAAGCGAAAGCCGTAGAATGCAAAGCGTCCCTTCAGCAAGGAAAAGCAACAAAGTAAAGCAGCAGAACGTGAAATTTGCAAGCCAGCAAAGGAGCAGAAGGCGAGAAGCAACGGAAAGCGGCAAAAATATAGTCGAACTATATGCAATGCAACGAGCATGGCGCCTCGTCATAGCGGCTATCTTCCCCACCGATGCGAGGATAGAGCGGGACAAACTCGGGCTGGGGCCAGCCTTTTGCGGCTTGTATGACGTTTGCTCTTCAGGGTGTAATCAGCTTCGGCCCGTTTGCCCATGGTTTGAGCCTGCCTCGGGGCTTGAGGCGACACAATCGATCTGCTATTTGTCACTCGTTCGCCACAAACCGACAGCTGGCTGTGGAGCTTGCAATTCATCGTCTGCATCGCCAAGAAGCCGAAAAAGTCTATGAGCGCCGTGACGTTGACAGGGGCTTCGAAAACGTTGATCTCCTGGCTCGTGTCACTCGCAATCGTTCGGAAATGCGATGCGACGTCCAAGCAACAAAAGCACGAGCCTAGGACCCCTCAGACCCCTCAGACTCTGGAGTACACGGTCTGAGTGTGGTGACTGAGTTATCAATTGCATACTTTCGGCTGCACGACCTACATGAATCGCGGAGTGCTGTGGAGTGGGTTATGGATGTTGTTGGGGTTGTGGTTGCCGAAATTTTGGGTTTAGAGCTACCGCAAAAGCCCCACGCCTACAAGACCACGACTCTTCTGACTCCCCCGGTGCCGAAAACTCACTACGTCCTGCGACCACAAACCCTTGAAGCTTGGCCGCAAAACCTGGAGCCTTGCCGCTCTGGACTCTTGATGAAGCACTTCAAGCAACAGCCGTCCGTCAGCTTCGCCGCCGGGACGATACAGCGAACAAGGCGCTCGTGCGCCTGCTGTATGCTGAATTCGTTTCGCTAGTGTTTTTTCGACATAGCATCAACGATTGTGTATTTCGGGGCCAAGTTCTCATCAACTGCCCGGAAGTATTGCAATCTAAAGCTTCAAAAGCTCACGGGTTCTGGACCCCGGGTCGACGGGGATTCGCCGTGGAATTTTGCAGCCCAACCCGAGACCTGGAGCCTTCAACCCGTAGCAGTGACGTACCTCGTACAAGCGAACTGCGACGTCAAAGCCAATTTCTTCCAAGCTCCTTGGCTTCGGCTTCAAAGCGCTTCTTCGTTTCTGCGATGTTCGGCAAGAAGGTCGTTCTGTCCGATGCACGAGCTGGCCGAAACTCAAAGTTGAGCACCCTGTGGCCCCAAAACAACATAAACACCACGTCACCTCAAGGCTCCAACCCTGTTGCCCGAACACACACAAGATGTTTCCAACAGGGCTCATGCCGCAGGGGCTGTGGAGCGGCACAGGCAAGGTTCTGTCAAACCTCGGTCGTTGTTGAAGCTGTTTCTGTTGCTATTGTCATGGCTGCTCCTGCTCTTTAACTGGACTTTGCATGATTTTGTGCTTATTCTGGCTGGCCTCTCAACGATTGTCCTTACCGCGTCTACTGCAACCACTGCCCAGTGCTCTGTTACAGTCTTGATGCCCTTTTCGTGTCCTTCCCCCTGGTACTGCTGTTGATGATATTGATCTTCTTTACTTCGGCATGTCTATTCTGAAAATAAGACAGTTCTTTCAAGCAGCACAGTTCGTGTGGTCATTCCGGTCATCATTTGCTGTGGGCCTGTGTGGTGAGTCTTAGCACCGATACAAGCTAATACACTGATGATCAATCTTGATAGTGTTGTTACCGTAGTAGCGTCCCGATCGAGATCAGCGAATGCTCTTACTGCATGACGCTCACTTTGCCACCTATATCGTCAAGCTCTTTGTGCCGCTTCAGTCCCAGTACTAGAAGCAGCAGCAGTAGCAGCAGTAGCAGCAGTAGTAGTAGCAGCAGCAGCAGCAGCAGCAGCAGTAGCAGAAGCACAAGCAGTAGCAGCAGCAGCAGCAGCAGCAGCAGGAGGAGGAGGAGGAGTAGTAGTAGTAGTAGAGGCAGCAGCAGCAGCAGTAGGAGCAGTAAGAGTAGTAGTAGGAGTAGTAGTAGTAGTAGTAGTAGTAGTCGTCGTCGTCGTAGTAGTAGTATTAGCATCAGCAGCAGCAGCAGCAG